ATTGTCATCTTCATTTATATTATCATTCATATTATCATTCATATTATCATTCATATTATCATTCATATTATCATTCATATTTTCATTCATATTTTCATTCATATTTTCATTCATATTTTCATTCATATTTTCATTTATATTATCATTTATATTATCATTCATATTATCATTCATATTTTCATTAATATTACCATTCATATTATCATACATTTTATCATTATTCTGAATAATATTATTAATATCTTTGTTGTTCTTTCCAAACGAAGCAGAATTATTGCCACTACTAATATTATTGTCTATTAAAAATTTGGGTAGAAATTCACACAAATTTCCTTGTAACATTAAATTAATATTCGTATTATCAATGTAATTCTCATGAGGTCCCTTTCCATATATACCATTATATGTACCCATTTTAACCTGTTCCATTTTACTAAAATAATCATTATTCAAGGTATCAGAAGTTGTTTCACTAGTGGTTTTGCATAACTCCGAAAATTGTTCTGACCAATTTAAATGATTTATATTTGTATTATCATAATTATTCGTATCTTTATTATCATATGCTACAGTATTTTCATTTTCTGAAAACATGTTATACGAATCATTCGCATTTAAAATGGATATATTATTTGTACTATTCATTGTTAAGGATGATTGGTTTAATATATCCTCGGTACTTATTGGTAAACATCCACTAGGTGCAATTTTTTTACCCTTCCATTTTGCTGCATTTAATAATTTGGTTCTTATTTTCTTTTCTTCTTTATTTTCTGGAAAACGAACTTCCAAAGGTTTATGAGCACCTGATAATATTATTTTATTATTTAAATATTTTATGGCATTTACTGCTTCGTCTCTATTATAAAAAGTAACAAAACCAGATCCTCGTGATTTACTTCTTCTATCTTTTAATATAATTAATGAATCGCATCTACCAAAATTACTAAATAAATTGTGCATATCCTTTTCGGTAGTTATAGGAGCTAAATTTCCAAAAAAGAGTTTTATTACATATTCTTTATTTTCATGTAAATTTTCCCCTCCGTTTTCTATTTCTTCTTTCCCATTATGTAGTTCATTATCTTTATCTATTTTATTATCAAAATTAATTGAATCTCCAATCAAAAAGTTATTACTTGTGTTATTTTTTATAATGACATCATAGTTATTATGTCCATCATAGTTATTATGTCCATCATAGTTATTATATTCATCATAGTTATTATGTTCATCATATTTATTATGTCCATCATAATTATCATTTTCATCATATTTATTATGTCCATCATAATTATCATTTTCATCATAATTATTATCGTGTCCATCATAATTATCATTTTCATCATAATTATTATCGTGTCCATCATAATTATCATGTCCATCATAGTTATTATGTTCATCATATTTATTATGTCCATCATAATTATCATTTTCAACATAATTATTATTAATGATATCAATGTGTTTATTGTCATAACTATCCATGAAATTCTTATTGTATGTATGCTTGTCCGTAGTTAAAAAATTATTTGAATTTCCACATTCCTTCTTATTTATTATAACATCATTGTTATTTAAGATGTTATGACTCTTCTTGCTTTTATTCAATGTTTCATCATCATTAACATCAATAAGATGATTCATTTGATTATTCAATTTACTATTAATCTTATAATTTCCTTTAATATTCATTTTATTTTTATTATTATTACGTTCCTTATCATTACATTTATTATAAGACGAATAAGGCATAAAATCGAAACTGCTCAACAATCCTGTATTAGACTCAGAAGGGCTATCCATTAATTTCTCATTCATCATGTTGTTTTCACTGTTATTAATTTCCATATCATGAAAAAGAATTTTCTTTTCTTTACCTTTTTTGTTATTCACAATTCCGTTCATTAAGCAGGTGTTCATATTATTTCCATGTATACACTCTTTGTTTAAATTATTAAACATAGAATTGTTATTCTCACACAAACTGTTAAATACTTTTTTTTGCTTTCCATCCTGTAAAGAATTATTTTTCATATTATTTTTGTTGTTTGAAAGAATATTATCAGAACTTTCAAAAGGGGAAGATGGAATATATATGTCAAAATTATTATTACCATGGAAACTTCTATTACTATGAACATTATTATTACTATGAATATTTATATTATGAATACTATTTGTTGCTATTTTATTATTATAAACATTGTTGGAAAAAATTGCATTGTTATATGTATAATTATTATATGTAGCATTCCTAAACATTCCATTATTATAATTCGATTTCTTAAAACATATATTATCATAAGGATTGTTATTAATATTTGCACTATGGAAACTTGTATTATTATAACTGCCACTATTATATGTACCTGAATTGTATGTTTCATTTGTTGTTAATCTATTATTACAATTCATATTGTAGTTATATTCTTCATTTTTTAAGTAATCCTTTTTTTCATCACATTTTTCCATATTTTCAATAGTAAAAAAATCATCATACATATTATTATTTGCATAACGTTTATCTTTCATATCAGGTTTCATAAAACATTCTGATTTATTTTTTATATAATCCATATTTGTACGTATATTTTTATAATTGTTATTCATATAAAAGTTATCCTTCAAATTATTATATTTTTTATATTTATTACAATCATTTTCCATTATATTCATTTTTGAATATTCATTCTTATCACTAAACAATTTCTTTGAATAATGTTTTTTGGGATTTTTGTTCTTATTATACATGTATATATTATAATTATTGTTCATAATCTTGTAGTCGTCATTTTTATTGTTATGCATGCTAACATTATTAACGTTATCTTTCATAAGGCCATTATAAGATATATTCATGTCCATAAAAGCTTCATTATATAAATTATAATCAATAGATTCATTTACATCATTTTTATTATCAACATGTTTAAATGTTATATTTCGAACAATATTATCATTAATAATAATATTATCATTATCAGTAATATTATCATTATTATTATTGTTTTTTTTATTATGGATGTCAATCTTTTTAATTTTATTTATAGTTTCCTTTTTAGATTCTTTATTATTTTCCTTCATAAAATTGGATTGGTTTGTTTTACTAAATGTTGCATGGTTTAATTCGTCCATATGATATAAGTTAAAATTAATATTTTTCATGTTATTTATATTATTATTCATTTCATGTTCATATATATTCATATTATTATTATTAATGTTTTTATCCGTATTCTTGTTTTTATATATGTCACACAACTTATTATTACCATTTATCGTTTTATATATCATTTCATCATTACTAAAAACAAAATTATCCATATTATGTTTTATTTTACATTCTTGTACAAAATTCTCATTTCTGTTAACATCTAAAAAAAACTCATTAGGCAAAACATCTGTTCTTCCATTTAAGAAAGAATTATTTGTTACATTAATATTTTCATAAACCTTATCACATTTATTATGCACGCTATTATTATTCAGCATATTATTATTATTAATAATATTATTATTATGCATGTTATTATTATTAAAATTATTATTATTATTTAATATATTATTATTATTCAACATGTCATAATTATTTATAAAGTTATTATTATTTACCATATCATATTTTTTATCATTTTCATTATGTCGACATAAATTAGTATTCAGTTCAGTTTCGATACCACTAATAATTTTATCATTGCATGTCATATATTTATTAAATTTTATCATTTTGCTATAATTATTATTAATAATATTTTTATTACTACTTATTTCTTTATTATCTATATTATTATTATTATTTTCATTATATATATATTCTTTTTTATTATTTTCTGCATGGCTATCCAAAGACATTCTATTTATCTTAACTGAATTAGCCTTAAGTGTTTTTGTAATTTCCCTATGTATATATTTTCGTGACTCTTCAAAATTTTCTACATTTGAATTATTATTAATATTACTAT